ATGTAAGTATGCATGCGCGATGAGAATGCAGCTAAGTGGCTGCATTCGTTCCATTAATGGTGGGCCCCTCTCTCTGACCGTAGCTGCCATAAGCAGTTGGTGGGTTAAGGGAAGCGCTCTGGTGCTGATACTGCTGCTGTCTCCCCCAAATAAACGATGCGCATGTGAAACGTGATTTTGCGGGAGCGGGATCAAACATATGTTTTGATCCATGCACTTGGAGACTACGTCGAGGTAATTACTATCTCATTAACCCAACTTACCCTTAAAACTAGCCACACAGTAGATTTGCTGGATCAAAAAGCAGAGAGATGGGGATGTGCATCCATAACAAGGGTTATGGGTTAGGGTATGGGTTAGGGTAAGGGTTAGGTTGGGACAGTGATATCGCATGTAAAAAGCCCCTAGTTTCTGTCTTACGGGAAGCGTTGGAGTAGGCTTTTAAATATAAATAAGAACATATGTGCGCTACCAAGGAAACTCCTGCCCAGTCTTCTTGACCGTCTTTATGCCGGGCTCGGGTGAGAGACGGGCTGACAGTGAAGTAGATGTGCGCAAGTCTACCTCTGCTACTATAAAATAACTCACGCACAAGTGACCGTCCCTGCACCCACCGCGATGTGGGGCTCACGAAGGGCATAGTCGTCAAGGCCGATCGAATTGCCATTTTGAACCTAGTTTCACCTTTTGGACCAGTTGGATTTAGGAGGCGATAGAGTTTGTTTGATGTCAGGCCGCATCTCCGCAGTTTAATTCAAAAAGGAACGAATTGGGAGCATGCTGAAATAGTTTTCTGCAAAATGTCAATATATTGTCAACTGCGGCCTGCCTGTTTCCGTTAAGTCGCAGTTAAAGCAAGCGAAAAAAACAGGATGTATTTGTACAAATACATTTCGGGACAGCTTGTCAACTATTTTCTCTCTTTGTGTTAATAAGATAACAAATGGAGAACAAAGCAGTTTGAATTTTTACAGAATCAATAACAGCAAGCTCATTTTTCTACGCGGTGAATACTTTCTAATAATGTCGCCTTTAAACTTGGGAAGGAAAAGTAGGAACGGGAAATTTATTTGTATAAATAAAATTCTGTTGTGTTCGCTTGCTTTAAATTTTTACCTGTGAGATAATGCTTTAAGTCGTATTTCAGTTAAATGCTTGCATACGATTCGCCACCCCCCTCATCTCCTATCAAGTTGCTTTCCATCGAATAAAGTCCACCCTTTAAAATAATTTTGTCACGAAATTGTAGGTTGCACGTTTAAATGGTCATAAAAGTCCGTTGTGTTCGTATAGATTGCCACTTGGAGACGTAACTTGCTTATTGAGATCGCATTCCAGATTTCAGGTTGTAGTCGATCAGGAAAACGGCCCTTTCCGACATTTTCCTACGATATTTCAGCCGGGAGCCTCTTTAAGCTCCTGGAAATGTTTGTCTGCATCGTTGCAACTGATCATTTAAGATTTTCCTTGAAATATTCAGCGATGACTCCTTCGTAATACGCGCTTGTTTAAACTTTAAGCATAAGGTCATCCGAGTGTAGCGGATCTGCTACCTTTTTATCATACGTACCAGCCGTAACACGGGAGCTATTGCTTCTTTGTATCACCGCCTTCCAGTTCGTTGCCGACTGTCAAATATTTCAATAAAATTGCATGATTTTTAAATTATGCCTGCTACCTTGAGCAGCCGTTTGCCTTTCAGTGAAGGAGATGCTTGCTTAGCGCGTGAATTCCGTTAGGTCGTTCGATTTTATTCCGTTCTTATTGTGCCGATTAGCTTTCACCAATAACCAGTAACCTTACAGAACTCTTCTTACCCACCAGATCTCTACCTCGCGGATATAGTTAGAATCTGCCGTAATTGTCACTTATCTGCTGGGTACTGTTAACCTCTTAATGTACATTTTCGTTCACTGGAAAAAAGTGCAAAATCAATAATTCCTAACGATGGGGCCGAAAGTGCTGGTCATTTACTGATTTCAGTGCTGTTTCCATTCTTCTCAATTCCTTCATGTTTGAGGTAAAATTTTTCGTACTGGCTAGATTTGTCGTTGTCATCGCGTGCATAAATAAGTCTTTCGCGAGATGAGGGGATCTGTCAGAGTCCTATTGGTGGCGGACTACCAGTTGCGTCAATGGGCGGCCGAAAATGCAGTAGTCTTCAACGAAGACTGAATGTGAAATGACCAGGCTCGCAGTCTGTTGAATAAATAGGCGTTTTACCATGCAGTGGTGACACTTCCTGGTGTGATTGAGGACCAGCCTGGCCGGTTAATCAACCAGCCTACCAGCTCAACGCTGGAAACTTAACCTCTTGTGCTAGAATAAGTGAGTGAGGGGAGGGGCGTCTAAGAGCAGGAAATCTCCGTTTTACTTGTGGCCTACCTTATCCATGATTGAATCGCCGTGAGGTGTACTTCTAACCACCGGTAACCAGAGTACACAGGGGCCCTTAGCACTCTGTTTGTCCTCGTTTCGGTTGCAAAAGCTCCACTCGCTGCTGCGATCCTCGCCTGGACGTATGAAATCCGCTTTGACCGATAAAGCTTCAGTGACCAGAAACAAAGGCACGGAACACGTTCCTCGAAATTGCCTTGTTGTTTCTGATCAACAGTGTTGTCTAAGCCAAGAGGCGAGTTGTGCGTCGCATTTGCATGGTGTTTATGTGTGCGAGAGCACATGGTCTCGGAATCTGCACACCTCCGTAGTTACAGCATGTGCAGTTAATACGTTTGTTGGCTCATGTAATATTGCTGATTAGCTCAATTACCCTCTTCCTCT